CTTAACTGGACCATAGCTGAAATTAAGCGAATGGACGCCAAAACGAGAAAGCTTCTCACTTGCTACCGGATGCATCATCCCAAAGCTGATGTTGATCGTCTGTATGTGCCCAGATCCGAAGTAGGCAGAGGATTAGTTCAACTAGAACTGTCCTACAAAACTACAACAATTGGCCTCCAAAGATACTTGGAAACTACAGAAGACTGGATGATGGTATGCGTCAAGGAACATGAAAGTAGTAAGCGTCTTTACTCCGTAATAAAAGAAGCCAACAAATTCAAAATGGAGTTTCAAATGGGCGTAGAGATGCAAGCACAGCACAATACACCGGCTGAAACTGGAAAATACGAATGCAAAGGCGAATGCAACCGACCAGATACAGAAGCGATGGCAAGATAAACCGCTTCATGGCCAATTCTCTGCCCGTACCAAACAAAACCCGTACCCATCAGTGGCTACGTAGTGCAGGGTTGAAAGCTTAAACTGAAGGTTTTATCTTTGCTGCACAGGACCAATGCTTGCTAACTAGGAATTATCAAGCACATATACTAAAAGATTGTGTCGGCCCAAAATGCAGATTAGGTGATAAATATCCAGAAACGATTGATCATCTTGTATCAGGTTGCACGATTTTTTCACCCACTGAATATAAAACCCGGCATGACAGAGTGGGCCAATATCTGCACTGGAAAATCTGCAACTTCTACGGAAAGGAAAATGAAAGAAAATGGTATGAACACCACCCACACCCGGTTACGGAGATAGGACCTGTTACAATTCTATGGGACTACACAATACACACTGACAGAAAAATCAAGGCCAACCGGCCAGATATTGTTATTAAAGACCACAAACAAAAACGGTGCCTCCTTATTGATATGGCAGTCCCTGCTGACTGCAATGTATCTTTGAAGATATTCAAAAAGCTTTCAAAATACAAGGACCTTGAAATAGAAATCTCAAAAATATGGGAACATCAGCAATCCCTGTTGTAGTTGGAGCCCTAGGACTGGTTGGAAAAGATTGCAGTAGACGAATTGAAGGGATTCCTGGAAGTCCATGCCTCAAGGAGATACAAAAAATTTCTGACAAGTACAGCCCCTAATTTACGAAGGGCTTCTATGTATTTTTTTTTTTTTTTGTCAGTGGAAAGTGTCATGATGCCATTTCTAACCTTAGGTCCCTGGGCGGGACCCGGAAAGAAATGTGTAAACGCCAAAAATCAAAGATGATGATGATAATAATAATAATAATATTACGTAGTGTGACACAAATGGAAATATACCAACAATAATAATAGGTAGTGTAACAGAAATGATAATATAATAATAATAATAATAGTAAGCAGTGTGACAGAAATGCAATTATAATGATAATAATAATAAGAAGAAAAATAATAATGATGGCTTTTTTACTGATGCCATCTCCTCCATAGTTCTTCGACTGCATGAATTAAATCGTGCTACAAGATTTACAACTAGGTCCAAGCGATTTACCATTGAAATAGCTACATGCATTTTTTTCTTCTATTCTAATAGTGTATTTCTCGTCTATGGAACTCTCTTACAATCTCTTGCTTCCCTGCCGCGTACAATCATCAAGAATTTAAGTGTAACTAACTGAAAACCTGATCTTTTCTTGTTCTTTCTCCGTACTAATGTCTTCTTATTCTCTTTAAACCTCAATAACAACTTGTGGTATTATCGCCTTTCTTGAAGTGAAATTTTAAACAATACTGGTTCAGTATGACGCAATGATTAAAGACTAGTTGTAATATACAAAAATAGTAAATATTCAACAACAACAACAACAAAGTAGGCATTTAATCAAAGACACTGTAGTATTCACAATGATTAAAATGGAATATTCATATATATTAGAAAAATATTCCAGTAAACTTCGCATTATCTGAGACAATAAAGAAA